AAAAAAATAAATTATACATTAATATCTTTTAACAAGAAGCAATTAAATAAAAAAAATGCTTATTTATCTTGTAAAATAGCTATACTGGCTATTAATAAAAACTTATATTGTCTTATAGTGGCTAAACTAATTAGCAGCTTTTAAAATGCTTTTTATGTGGTTATTTTTATATAAAATTGTAATTATTGAGCTAATATAATTTTTTTACTCTTTAAATGACTAATAAATTATTTTTTAATCCACAGTGTACTATTTATAAATAATAAATTATTATAGCTGTTTTTAAGCTTATTAATTCTTTTTATTATATTTTGTAATTAAAAATTATTAAATACATGTAATTAATACATGTGATTACTGTAATTAATTCTATTTATATGTTTCTGCAATTGTATAACTAATATTGTAATATTTTGTAAATATCATATTTAATAAAGCAGTATTATTAATTTTTTTAACTTAATTTTGCTAAAAATAATTTTGTATTTTATTAAATTAATAAATTTTTATACAGTAATAATATTTTACAATAAACAACTATTAAATTTGTAAGTAATAAATATTTTTATAATGCATTAACAATGCTTTATAATTCTTAAAATGCTTTTTATAATTTTTTACATAACAAAATAAAGCATGTTCATAGTATTTTTAGTATTTTTTTTTTAAAATAAAATAATAGATTATCATAAAAGTAATTATCAAACTAAATCTTTGAAAGTTTAAAATCATGCATGAATATTTAAAATTCCAATTAAATACTAAAATTTAATTATATAAAATTTATAAATTTCTAATCTTTGTTTTTCTTATGTTTTCTTTTTTCCTACAAAAAAAAGCAGGCTGTGATAAATCTGGTTTCTCAACAATCAGTAAGTATTGAGCAAACATTAACTGAAGAGAAAGCAAAAGAATTTCTCCCTCATGAATTACCTGGGACTCAAACTGCCGAGATGACAATATCTTCTAATATAGCGACCGAAATTTCGGAAATTACAGCTTCAGATCAAATAAAAGACTTGAAAACTGAAGATATTGCTGGTTCTAAAACTGCTACTTTAGGAATATCAGAAATACTCTCTGTGCAGGTAAGAATTTAATCTCAATCAATTTTATTGGGTTGTTCGGAAAGTAAGTTCGTTTTTTTTACCACTAGACGGATTAGTGGTATTTTTTCCGCCATTTTCGTTCTAAACCATATTATCATTATATATTTTGACAGCTAGCATTTTATAGCTTATTTGTAAAAAATTTTGTTTGATTTCGTGCAATTGTTTATTTTTTGTGTCCCATCAAATATGGAAGATTGAAAGCAGCATCTTCGGCATATTTTGCTTTTTTATTACCAAAAAAATAAAAATGCCGTTCAAGCAAGAAAAAAATTGTGTGACATGTATGGTGGAGATGTGTTGACAGAATGACAATGCCAAAACTGGTTTACAAAATTTTGTTCTGGCAATTTCAGTATTGAAGATGCACCACATTATGGATGGCTAATTGAAGCCAATGAAAACAAAATAAAAGTACTGATTGAAGCAAACTGCGGAATAACAACACGTGAAATCACTAAGAGATTAAATTTGTCAAATTGAACTGTTTATGAGTACTTGAAACAAATTGGTTTCGTTTCAAAGCTCGATATATGAATTCCACGAGTTCTTAAAGAGA